GTAACGAAATACAATGCTTTACAAGACTAAACTTGCACCACTGATGCGTGTGAAAATGACTTTGTTAGAACCAAGTCAAGTAATTCCATATCAAAAATACATTCCAATGAGTTTTAAGACTGTTATATATGGTCAAACACAGGTTTTACTGTTACAAAATTACACCAGCTAGCCATGGCTCCTACAGTGGAATTTAGTTGTATTCTAGATGAATAGGATCTTGTTTGTAATAAAACATCTACTGAATTGGGCAAAATGTCACAATGGGTGCTGCACAGTGAAAAATGAACTGAAGATTGCAATTTGCTGTTAATCCTGCTACACTGACTGCAGCTGTTAAAGCCTAGTTCAGCTGACACCTGATCTTTTGTACTGTACGAAAAAGAACCAGGATTTAAACTAGTTCTACCAGCACGACTAAAAACTCAAGAGAATTATTCTGCTTTAGCATCAGAAAACTAATTTTTCTGTCTTGTTTTGCAAGTTGTTAAAAAAGCATATGTAACAGTTCTTTGGGCTGGGGGTTTCCTCCCCTGCCCCCAGGGATAGGAGCACAAATTGGCATTAACCAAGGCCATTATTCAGTTAAAGTCAGCAAGGTTTCATTCCTCTGTGGTCTTGGGCCTTCTCACAAAAGACCTGTTGGTAAGCCATATGCCATGCCTGCAATCTGCACTGGCAGCTCTTTTAACAACCTTTTCTCATCTGTGACAAGAAATGCAAAGGATAATGGAAGAACTTGGGGCATTAGAAAAGATGCTGCAACAGTGTAAAATGCTCCGTCTTTTGTGCAGGCAGTAACAAATCACCTTTCTTTGTGTCTTCTCTAGCTGCTGCACTAGACATGCCTTCCTAGTGCATTACTGAAGATCTGAATGCCCAGCTCTAGAAAAGATACTCTTTTAACACGTCAGTGCTCTCTTAACTCTGAGGTCAGAGCAAGTTTTATTTGTTTTGAAGCTTAACATAATTCAGCAGAAAGAAAAGAAAAAGGATTAAATGAGAGAGACTATAGCAAAAGGAACTCCCAGTGGAAGAGACAACCACTTTTTGTATTGAGAGAGAGAAGATTTCGTCTGGAGGACAGACAGATAGTCTGCATATCCTTTACATATCTCCAAAGGATGAAAAGAGAACACAAAGGAATGAAAGAAAAATAGATATATTCAAAATTATAGGAGCAAACAGCGCAGTTCTGGGGTGGTAAGTTCTTCAGAAGCTGCAAGCACAAAGCTCTCAGACATGGGGTACAATTCCAGCGGGTAAAAGATAGACCGAGTAATACAAATGTGAGCCTATCTTACTTCAAGTTACAGATCTGCAAACAGCTTTTGATTCTGACAGCTTCTGTTTTCTGTTTTTGCTTCTTTGTTTCTTTTTTTTTTCCCCCCATTCAGATGTAAGTGTTAAAGCATGTTGTTGCCTGAGCATTTCAGAGCAATCACTCAAACTTTTACCTATTAAGCACATCATGTTACTGTTCTCCTGGGCAAGGAAAACCAAATTAGGAAAAGGGCTTTGCTCCCTGCATACACATATCCCTGACATATAATCATGCATTTGAAATGTGAGAGGTATTACCAGACCTGGCACTACAGATATCACCTAGTAAAAGTGCATGTATCTAACTGCACATTTTTGTATTTGTAAAAACAGGCAGAGTATGAGACGTTATCTATGCCAACCCATGCAGTTGTGAAGGAATTGATCTCCAGCTTCCACTGGGTCCAGCCCATCAGGTAGTTTCTTCCAGTGTGTAATATGTTGGTGAGGCTGTCATGGGGTAAGGATGTTTCTATTGGCTCCACCAGCAGAAACAGCCTTTTGTTTCCAAGCTCAGTTCCCATCCTAGAATGTATATTAGGCTGCTGCCAGGAAGAGCATTTGCTGTTTGCCACTTGGTTCTCCCTGCCCCTAGGATGGCATCTTGTTCTTGTTACAGTATGCATTCAGGAACAGGAGATATCTGTAGTACACAGACTTCAACACAGAAGTAATTTGTGGATGCTCACAAACAAGTCATAGTAACATATCCCACTCAGGTAAGCCTATGATGATGTCTTGTGATGTGTCGTTGCAGCAAATATGCGAAAGGAAAATTTCAAGCTGGAAAACAGAGGATTCTTGGAGATCTGTGCCCAGCTTACATCATGAATATCCATTCCCTGAGAGTAGAAAAAAAGATTACTCAAGGCATCTAGAAACAGCCTATTCTCATGACTCCATTACTACACCAGTTAGGACTAGAGATGACGTTGCAATTCATGTCGTGTAAGGCTAAATGAAGGGCAGTAGGCCCATGCTAAAAATGGATACTGGATACAAAGGAAGTCATAAAGGTACTTCAATCTGGGTACACCAAGGACTGGAACACACCTGACTAACCACACTTCTGTTTTAACAGTCAGTTTACTGTAGCCTTATTAGAACTCAACGATTCAGGTGATCAATGATTCAGATATAACTAACCAACCAGCATCCACGATTCAGGCCCATTTCTAAGGGGACTGATCACAAGTTGATATCTGCAGAGAATGTCTGCCATTAAACACCGGTCAAGCATCAGAATGAGAACAAATATAGGTCTGAGTCTGCTTGCAAGGAGTTTACAACGAAGGCTTTGATCTTGGCATATAGAAATGGGAAAGCTTGAATACTGCTGAAAGTTGCTTCAGGGAAGTCATCAAGAAGTCAATGCTTTGGAGAAACTATTGCCCATTAGCAGTGTCTGCAGGGCACTGAAAGATGGCTGAGAAGAGCAAAGCTGCTTTTCTTCTCTACATTTAATGTAAAAGGACTGCATTTAATGTATAAGGACTGTAAAGAGCAACTTGACAGTACCAGAGAAAAGGCTAGAAAAGGACAGAGACATATCAGTTATCACCTGTGCTATTGCAGTTAGTGACTGGTGAAATTGCCAACCTCTGTAAATATATTATGTCTGGTATTTCTCCCATTAGTCCAAGGCTCACACTTTCACTGTCCTTGCCCACGCTGTGCAAAGCTGCTGAGAACTGTACATCTGGCACCTGCACAGCTGCCCAAAGCTGCACCTCTCCCAGGTCCAATCTTTAGCATTAGTAGGCGTAAGCAAGGCTGTGCTGAGCAGCAGTTTCCTACCTCTATTCATGATCAGCATGGGAGGCACTTCTCATGCATACAGTACTACAGCATGCTTACTAAAATCTGAAAAAGTAACTTTGTATAGAGTTCTTCATGATCTGAAGAACTTTATGCACAGTACTGAAGTTTTAAACCAAGTCAGCTAAAGCAAATGGTGAAGCGGCACTGCAAGTGACTACTAATGGCTTTCCTGAAGTATGTGTGGAGAATAAAGGCTTATATTTAGCACTTCTCTTTCTAGTTTTCTCAGCAGAATTTATTCACTTCAGCATTTTCTAAGGGAAAAAGGCAAAACTGCCCATTAATGAAGTTCACACAGGCTTCAAAATCCCTTTACCTATAGCATATGTAAGTTTCCCAAGGCAAGCTCCTCAGTAAACGCTCCTGATTAGTAGGTATCACTTACAAGGCTGCAGTACTGCGCAGCCTTGTAAATGCTCTCTTTTCCAAACAAAGTAACACAGCTCTAAGAATCATCATTATGGGTGGAAAAGACCTCTAAGATCACCTAGTCCACCCACCAACACATGCCCACCAACCATATCCCTCAGTGCCACATCTTAACATTGCTTGAGCACCTCCAGGGATGGGGGTGCCATCACCTCCCTGGTTAGCCTGTGCCAGTGCCTCACCACTCTTTCTGAGATTTTTTTTCCTCATACTCGGCCCGAACCTCCCATGCCACAACATGAAGACATTCCCTCTCATCCTACCGCTGTTACACGGGAGGCTGACTCCCACCTCGCCACAACCTCCTTTCAGGCAAGTTGTAGAGGGTGTTGAGGTCTCCCCTGAGCCTCCTTTTGTCCAGACTGAACAACCCCAGCTCTCTCAGCCGCTCCCCATCAGATTTGTGCTCCAGACCCCTCACAGCTCCACTGCCCTTCCCTGCACACACTCCAGGACCTGCACGTCTTTCTTGCAGCGAGGGGCCCCAAACCGAGCACAACAAGGCAGCCCCGTGGATGAGTTCTGATGGCTACAGATCACCCTTACAAATCACCCCGTGAACCTGAGGAGTCCCACATCGCCTACAAGTTCGCGTTTTTCCTTAAAACACCCCGATAGTGCCGGCGCGCTCCAAACCCCCGGCCCCAAGGGGCAGCCCTCCTCCATCGGGGCTGCCGCAACGAGCCAGCCTCGGCCTGCCCGCGCCAGGGGCGGGCTCCGTATGATGAAACCTGCCCGCAGCTTTCAGCAGGCAGCAGGGGAGGAGCTCGGCTACCGCTCGCCGCCTCGCAGCGGACACGGCCGCGGCCGTTCTTTCTCTGCTCGGCGCATTGTGGACGGCGGCGCTCCCTGCAGGCGGCCGGCACGGGTAGGAGCTCGGGCGGGCGTGGGAGCCGGCGGGCTGCAGGGCCGTCCCGCCGCACCTTCCGGGCCATCGCCAGCCGCCGTTCCTCGGCCGCGCGGGAGCTGCATGAGGCCGCGGAGGAAGGGGCGGCCAAGGCCCGCTACCGGGAGGGGGAACCCAAGGTCCTGGTGTGCTGTGAGGTCGGCAGTGATCGCCTGCGGCGGGCTAAGGGGCGGGCTGTCGCGTGTTTCTCGCCGTTTGGAAGAGCAGAAGACCCTGGGGGGAGGGGCAGCCCGATGCACGGCATGGGGGAGGTACCGCTTATTTCCCTGCTGCTGCTGCCTGCTCCACCTGCTCTGGTTCGGCCGGTGGGTTGGAGGTGATGGGCGAGCCTTCTGAAGGCGCGTGGTGGGGCCGAACGCCCACGTCTGCCCTGCTGCTTACGGCAGCGCTCCTGGCAGGGTTCGGCCGTCCTACGGCTTCCCCGTGCCTTCCCAGCGACCGACACCCCGTTCCCTGCATGGCCGCAGCGCCCTGCCTGGACACCGGCAGCGGGGCTGGGGAGGGACGCTGGCCCCTAGGAAGGGCTGGCTCTGCACGGTGCTTCTGGCGGAGAGTATGGAAAAATTGATTTCCCATATAGCATAACTGAGCAAACAGCCCGTCCGTACCTAAATACAAGGAGAAGTGCTGGGATTAGCTCTGTTCCTCGCCGTGAAGCTGCCCTCGTACCTTGGTACCTTCGGTGGCAGAAGAACAGCTCTCGTGTGAAAGAACAGAAAGCATCTGTTGGTGTGATGCTACTTCAGCAGATCTTACCTGATACCCAGCTTGGTGCTGTATGAAAAACAACCCGAGTATAAGTTTAAACTGAATTTCTTGAGCTGGACAAAGGCTGCTTATCATATCCGCATGCTGTGTTTTACCTTGTGTTAATAAGGTCTGCTGCTCTCTTCATTAGTTCTTTTTATGGTCCAGCAATTGATACCCTACATTTTATTTATCAACATGTTGTATCCACGATTTCCAGTTGTCATGTCCTGCACATAGGTCAGGTAGGTGATTGGACTTCGTGCTCTATAACCTTTCCTTCAACCTAGGTGATTCTGTGTTCTGACTGAACGTGTTTTCCATTTCTAGGTAACTCAGCAGCTTCACAATGTGCGGCATCTGGGCCTTGTTTGGAAGCGATGAATGCCTTTCTGTGCAGTGTCTGAGTGCCATGAAGATAGCTCATAGAGGTCCTGATGCATTTCGTTTTGAGAATGTCAATGGATTCACCAACTGCTGTTTTGGTTTCCACCGCCTTGCGGTTGTTGACCAGCTGTATGGCATGCAGCCGATCCGGGTGAAGAAGTTCCCTTATCTGTGGCTGTGTTACAATGGAGAAATCTACAATTTTAAACAGGTAAGAGTATGGTTCGAATATCCTGAGCTCAAATATCGTCGAGTCAGTGGGACTCCACACAGGTCTGCCCAAAACCATATCCTGTGCCTGAGAGCATTGTCCGTATGGTCTGTATATTGCTGCTGAACTTTGTGTGCCAGTGCTGAGATGTGTTGCTTGTAAAGGGAAGTGATTCAGATAATCCAAAATTAGACTATAAAGCAGCTTACAGTTTTTGACTGATTCTGAATCATGCTGCAAATAACTGCTTAAAATGGATCAGAAATTGAGCATGATAGGATCAGAAATATGTGAATAATCTGAAGTGTCTTATATTTCTAACACATAGAAGTTTTGAAGTCAAGCTACTGTCAGCAATGTCATTGGGAATTTGGCTAAATAGGAAGGGGACTAACATTTCATCTATTAAGTATCTGGCTTTTTGAAAGGTAGGATGTACATACACTAGGGCAAAGTGTATGTAAAGGGTATTGTATCAGCAGACTAATATTAATTGTGTTTTGCACTGCATTTTTTTCTGTTGCTGTAAGGACTAAGAATCACTCACAGTTCATGTCACTGAAACCTAAGGGAAATGTAATTATGTAAAACTTGACATTCTGTCAGCAGGAACTTGTTTGGTTGCTTTCCCTACCTTGGTTAAGGGCCTTCTTTTTTTATAAAGAATCCCTTTTTTTTCCTTTTTTTTTTTTTCTTTTTGTTTCTTACCTATGAAAGAATCATTGGTGAAACAGCCATCTGATTTAGGGCAATGCCTTAGTTGTTTTAATAATTAATCAATTTGAGCCAAATCTTTCTCATGAATAGCAATTAAAATCAAAGAACTTAAGTTAAAATGCAAAAACATTAATTATGTGGGGCTTCTTTACTTTCAGGTGTTTTACTGAAACTCCCACCATCCCCCATCTTCCCCCAGGTGTCCAGAAGTTTTTGAAAGGCCTCTAGAAGCAGCACCAGGAGAACATTAACTATGCTTGATCTTAATGCAGCTGTCTTCTGTTTCTGGTCCTATTTTGAGTGGAATTTTCAGAACCAGTGGCTGTTTTCTTCTGCCTTTTCTCTTTGGAACATGTGCTTCTTAAAGCCAGGGTTGTGTGTCTGCAATTTTATTTCTCCTAACAGAAGTGCTTCCCTGAAAAATAGGCCATAATGCACATTGCTTGAGAATTAATCTGTGTTGGCTCTGAGATGATCCTAGATAATATTTTGAGTACATAAGTGTAATTTCCTTCTTTGATGGAAATGTTTGTGAAACTTTGTGCTCTATTTTACAAAACAAAAACCTTTGTTTTCTTTAGTAAATTTTTTTCTTTTTTTTTTTTTTTTTTTCAATTGTTAATCAGTATCTGCAACTGTTCATTTGTGTGTTTCTTTTCTTAGTTGCAGAAGCAGTTTGGATTTGAGTATCAAACACTGGTGGATGGTGAGGTTATCCTTCATCTTTACAACCGAGGAGGGATAGAACAAACAGCATCCATGCTGGATGGTGTATTTGCTTTCATCCTTCTGGACACAGCAAACAGAAAAGTGTTTCTTGCAAGAGACACCTATGGAGTCAGACCACTGTTTAAGGTGCTGACTGATGATGGATTTTTGGGTGTCTGTTCTGAGGCAAAAGGTAAAACAGTTGTATTGAGCATCTAGTATTAAGTATTTTTATTGGAGGCATGCTTTTTTAGTCTCTTCTAAGTATGAAGAGAAAGTGAACTATTAGTTCAGTAATAAAGAAGTAATGTTTAGTAATATGAAATCTGTGCCTCATTTAAAACAAACAAACAAAAAAAAACCAACACCAGGCACTAACTCTTGAAAATGTTCAGTTGTCCTTAAAATCCCTAAAATAACTTTGATTTTATAGCTCTTTGTGTTCTAAAACAGTATTAGTATTGAGCCCAAGGTATTTCAGTTACCCGAAGTTGAATGTAGTCTAAAGAGCTAAGCTAGATTTATGCTTCACTAAATGGTATTAGAATTTATTCCTGCAATTCAGTGGGAAATAATGCCACTGGAATTTACAATCTGTAAAAGCCAAGAATTTTAAAACCCCACTGAAATTTTCTGTAGCTTTAGATAATTTTTTAATGGATGCTAATGTTATATGATAAGATTTTTTTTCCTTTGTTATGAACACTTTCAGTATTATTTATCTATTTCTTTGTGAGTAACTCTCTTAGTGTCAACACTTGCATAAACAAATCTAAAGTTGAGTGAGGTATACCTTAGAAAATCCAGGTTGAACTCTCTCTCTATTTTATTTTGTTTTCCTCCTGTTTTATTTATAGGACTTATCAACTTAAAGCATTCAACATCCTTATTTCCTAAAGTGGAACCATTTCTTCCGGGTCATTATGAAGTGCTGGATTTGAAGCCCTCTGGCAAGGTTGCGTCAGTGGAAGTAGTAAAGTTTCATAGTTACAAAGATGAACCACTCCATGCTGCTTGTGATACAGTGGAAAATCTGCCTTCAGGTAGTACAGCAAAGCGTTTCCTATTAATTCTGATGAAAAAGTGGGAATAAAATCATAATCTTTGGTTATGAAATTATGCTTTTCTTTTGGTTTTGTCTTCTTTCTCCTGGTCAGGCTTTGATCTTGAAACAGTGAAGAGCAACATCCGTGTTCTGTTTGAAAATGCTGTTAGAAAGCGTTTGATGGCTCACAGAAGGATTGGTTGTCTTTTGTCAGGTAAATAGCACAAATTGCAATGATTCTGTCTTCTCTCACTTCTCAGCCATCATCGACCAGTTAGAAGAAAAATACTGACTGTTCTGCTGTGATGTGCCTGAAGTGATCTGAATCTTCCATTTGCTTTCTTAGTTAAGAGACCTTAATGGTCTGTGATGAAGTTCTCTAGTTCACAGATATGTTGAAAGTCGTATGCTTGTTAAGTTTACTCTAGGCTGGGATGTTGTCTTGTTGAAGAAATAACCATTTTCAACTAAGAAGAGAAAAAGATGGTTTTATTGAAAAATCACCAACTATACTCTGAAACATAAAAAAGAGGACTGTTTCAGATAGCAAATGGGACTGAAATTCTTACCTGTCGTATTCTTTGACTTAGCCTACATCACAAACTGCCCTTTGTTTACCAAATTAGAAGGGAACTTCTGGACCAAAATTATTTAGTACACTCTTTTTCAGGTGAGGTAGTAGCTTGTGGTACAAGAAGTTGTTCTCTGACAGAGTGATGTGGTAGTTCAGTCTTGCAGAGGTAAGGCTGTGTAGCCATGGGACTCACATCTTATTCACTGTGTTTGTACTTCTGGGTAGAGTTCTGGTAACACTGTTTATTCATGCACTGAGCATAGGCAGTTACACTCATTTTTCACCTATCCTAGCAAGTGTGCATCTGAATGAGAGAGAACCGACCAGGAGATTCTGTTGAAGCATTTCTTTACTGTGACATGATACAAAGAAGGAGGGAGGGAAATGAAACATGGAGGCATGCAGAGCTGGAATATCTCAGCCTCAGTAAATATCTGAAATTTGTTTTTGAAATGGACTTTTCAATTTAGAGGACAGTTGACTCCTCAGGTCCACATGTACACTGCATATCAGTGGTAAAACTCAAGTCCTGTACTGACAAGTTACCAGAGTATCTCATTGCTTCACAATTTTGAGTATACCTGGAGCATCACAGAGTTGCTTGCTCTTCCAATCACAAAGGGATTGGAACTCAGCTTCACTGTGGAAACAGTGATTCCCTGATTTTCAGTCTCAAGCACTCTGTTTGATTTCTGTGTTCTCTGTCTTTCCTCTCACTTTGCATGTAATTCATGTAATTTCCATAGGGAAATTTTTGTCAAGAAAGGGTTCCCACAGAGGACAATCAGAGTGGGAATGTTTGCTAGTGCACTCAGCTGAAAAACTAGGTACAAAGTGTAGGAAACAAGCAGAAGAACATATTGTTCTCTGCTAGAACTGCAGAGTATGGGACTGTGCTTTGCTCAATATAGCAAATAAAAGGGAGAGCGACAAGCAGAAGTAGACAAGGAGCAGTAGAACTAGCTACTCAGAGTAAAATAGAAGAGCCTTAGGATGTCTCTTGGTATTTTGTTGTTTGTTTGTTTTCCAAA